GGGGGGGCGGAAAAGCAGTCTAGAGATGATCAATCTGCAACACTTTAAAGTAGCATCTGTTGGTCTCTATTGGTACACACTGTGCAGAAAAGGGGTTTGCTTGTCCTGCTTGTCAGCCACTTCTCTTAGCTGTTCCTCAGGATATCTGGGCTGATGAAAGGCCTTGCAGGAGTGATGGGACAACGGCTCTTTCTGCAGATGGAGCTGCCTGCTCTTCTGTGGTAGGGAGCTTCCTGGCTCTTGAGCTGCAAAACAACTTTACAGCCAGTGAAACAGAAGCAGCTCAGTTTACATCCAACAGATGCCTAAGTGATAATAAAAAGTAGCAGCAGAAGCATCAGAAAGAGAATGATGGGAAAGGATAAAACCAAGATAACCTGGATGCAGTAAAGTTTCCGATCACCCATTCAGCTATTTAACCTTAAATTATTTGTTCCTGTTTATTTTGACAGAGGCCTGGTGGACCCAGCAATGTCCTACGTGATGCGTGTCTAGTCGCCAATGTCCTGGATCCCAGAATCAAACAGGAAATCATCAAGAAATTTATTAAACAACACCTCTCAGAGTATCTGGTCCTTTTCCAGGAAAATCAAGATGTAAGGGAAGCTCAGCAAGTTACATTTGGATTTTGCATTTTGCTCTGCTGGTGTTCACAAAGTTCACGTTTCCCAGGTTCCTGTGGTGAAGAGTTTCTAACCCGAGGGCTCAGGAGCAGTGACTGGCTGATGAGTTGGGAGCCAGTGTTGTCTCTGCCAGGACAACTTCCCTTCCGTTTCAGATTTTAGTTTCAGATATCAGCACTGGAAATGTTTTTCCCTCACAGAGTAAATAAATAAATTCATGTTAGTTATACTTTTTGCCCTGTAAAGAGTTGAAAAATTAAACTCTGAAAATTGCAAACCAAAAATCTTTGAAAAACAACAATACCTTCCCCCAGGCAAAAAAAAAAAACCCAACCACCCTAAAATGGAAAAAGGATTTCCAGGAAGTGCATTAATCTTTGTAGCTAATTTTTAAACTTCCTGTCCTGATGCTAACAAGTTTTTTAAAAATTTACTGTAATCATCTTGGATTTGGGGAAAAAAAAAAAAGCCAACAACCAAACAAAACGAACTTTGGATCAAAATTTATTTTAACGGTTTTGATATTTTGACAGTTTGTGACAAAGAGGAGAGAAAGGCTGAAATGCTTCATTCTGAATAGCATTTTTCCATCACAGTTTTTTGGATTAACCTTTCTACTTTTTGATCAGAAAACACTAATACTGGGGGGAGAAATCCCATCCTGCTCATGTTGTAAGAATTCTTGTAGAAGTTTGTGGGTCCACAGTCCCCAGAGTGTGAAAACCAGCTGAATGTGAGAATTCAGGAATTCCTGCATTCTCGTTCCACTGTTGACTTTAATTTCTCTTTCTGTGAAACAAAGAGGGTGGGATCAAATGAGTTATTACTGGATCGAGTTTTCAATAGTATCTACGTGATTTAGGAGTACTGTTATCCTCGTTTTCAACAGAACTCGCTCTTAAAAGATAGAGTTTTCAGTCTGGCATGAGTTTAAGCACTTTGAAGAATGACTGTTAGCATTCAAAGTATTATTCATAGCGGTCAGGTTGGCTTTGATCGATAGCCCAAGCCGCTCTGCGAAGCTACAGCAGCACAGTTAAGCAGTCAGGCTGAATATTAGCAGCTGCTGCTGTTAAAGATGTTGTTCTCCATCTTCCTCAGGTGGCCTGGCTGGATAAGATCGACAGGCGCTACGCTTGGATAAAGCGTCAGCTGGTGGACTACGAGGAGAAGTACGGGCGCATGTTCCCCCAGGAGTGGTGCATGACGGAGCGCATCGCTGTGGAATTCTGCCACGTCACAAGGTGAGCCTCTGGGGAGCTCATGATGCCTCCCAGCAGAGCCCCCTTCCTTAAAACAAAAAATTGGCTTGTCTTTTTGCCAAATTGTTTGTATATCCGTAGGACTTTCAACAGTCTTCAAATATCTGTGTAGAATTGTCCATGATTAAAAGCAAAGAGTGAAAACCCTGAGAAGTATCACTAAAAACACATGTACTTTTCAGAGTGAGATAATGTGGAAATCCATTTTCAGTGTAACAGAGGTGGAAATCAGTAATGTTAGAGGCCAGTTCTAACAGCATGGGCTGACTGTGGTGTGACTGTCTCAGACCAGAGGGAGGTGCCAGCTGCAGTCCCAGGAGCACCATTGCCTTTGTTCTGGGACCCCGTTCAGAGACACTGAGCTTCCCAAGGTTTCATACTGTGGGCTTTCCTGGCTGCAGTGGTGTGCTGGCTGTTAGGAGTTGGGGTCCTGTTACCCACAAAGCTCTAAACAACTGTGGTTGTGTTTGAAACGTGATCTGTAAAGGAGTTTGATGTTAGAGAGCATCTTAGGAATTAGCTTGAATCTTGTGATGGAAGTCTCTCTGGGGCATAGACTGAATTACCAGTATTAGGTTTCAGACCTTTCTCTTTATAGAAAACCACATTTGGGTTTGTTTTTTCTTTTTATTCCCCTCCCTCTCTCTTTCAGGACAGAGCTCGCTAAGATAATGCGCACAAGAGCGAAGGAGATTGAGGTGAAATTGCTTTTATTTGCAATCCAGAGGACAACCAACTTTGAAGGACTTCTGGCTAAGCGCTTCTCAGGTTGCACTCTAGCTGATGGAACAGTGGTAAGGGGATTTCTAAAGAGCAGCCCTTTACTTGGCAGCTTCTTTGGGAGAAAAAAGCCCTCACACACAGCTACGGAAAAGGGAGACTGCAAAAGGTGTCACCTGCAGCCTCCTCTGTCAGGTCGGGGTGTTTAGTGCGACTGTGCTTGCTGGCTTGTAGTTGGGATAGTCACTCTTGCTCTTGCAGGCTGCGGTAGAGAGGATGGCCCAGGGCTCACAGGAGGGAAAGAACACTGATTGTGTACTTTTTGGGTTCTCCTCAGCCCTGTGCTGTTTGCAACTGAAGCCACATTGCTACGGAGAACCACAAAGTAATTATGGCATGGTGACTGCATTATAATGTTTGGTCTCTGCATGTCGATGACACATTTTAACTAAAAGTCCTCTTTTCTCTTCATTTCTCATTACCACATGTTCACCGCATGGTACCATCTTTCAATCCCACATTGTTTGTTGGGTTAGTCTTACTTGCAGGAGCATTGGTAGCTTCTTACTTTTCAGTGTGTTGTTTGGTAGATTGTAAAGGCAGAGCCTAGACAAAAGCTCAGTGAATATCTCTGGAATCATCTCTGTGCTTTTTGTGCCTGAAATCTCAGCCAGGAGCTCTGCCAGCTAAGTGCCCTGGGAGCACAAAGTCCACGTGTGGCTCAGAAGCCACTGGTTTGAGGTTGGCTCCTCTGTCCAGTTGGTGGGTTGAAGCCTGCTTGGATGTGATAATTCACCCAACGAGGCAAGCCTGATGGACCCATTCATAATTTGCTGTGGATCAGTAGATGCTGCTAATTAAAAAGGGAAGTCCTGTAAGGTTTTTCTCCTGGCTGAATTTAGATCTCTTAAGAATATGGCTTTATTTTTCCGACAAATTTCATATGAAATTTGCAGCTTTAATGAAATTGGCTTCACTGAGCTGTTTTAGCTTTGGAAGAGGTAGGCACAGAAGCTGTTATAAATGAAAAAAAAAAACAGAAGGGGTAGGTGTGGCTTGAAATAAAAGAAAATCGTCTCCCCCTTTCTGAGCTGTCTAGAGGCTACAACATTCTAGGTGTCATCATCTGACCCGTTTTATACACAAAATGAAGGCTGTAATTATAAGTGGCAATCTGGTGAGTGCATGGTGAGGACAAGCGGTCTGGTGGGAGCAGCAATGCAGGATTCACTGCAGCAGCAGAGTTCTGGGCTGTGCTGTCACGGGTCCTCTCGGTGGAGACCACATGCTTGGGGGTGTGTGGTTTGAGAGGGTGGAAATTTGGCACTAATCAAAAAGCCCCTTCCAGGGCTGGTTCAGGCAGAGCGGGTGGGCCCGGGTGCAAGCAGAGCAGGCTGTGAGAGGGTGCTGAAGATGGAGTGTGCTGGTGGAGAGGGAACCAGACTCGAGAGCAGTAGGAGGGAATGTGCTCTCACCCTGATGGAGAGGCACCACCGGGCACTCTGCAGTCACCTCTGTGCCTGGAGAGGACAAACTGCTGTGCAGTGCTTTGAAGGGCTTAGGAAAGCAAAACGTGGATGCAGCTGTGTGCCAGAGGGGACAAAAGCAGACTGTTCTCTAAGGAGCTTCCTCTTTTTTTAACAGAAAAAGCCAGAAGTGGCACTTCCCTCCACCAACCCATTTCTGGAGGATGAAGCTGGGACAGAGACAGATGAGATTGTGATCGAGAAAAGTGACACAGACAAAGTAAGTCTTTGAAGTTCTCCAGTTGTCAGTGAGGCAGGCTCTGTGTCAGAATCTCTGGTGGTGCTTAAGCTTTTCCCATCATGTTGATTTGAAAGGTTTGTTTTCACAGCAATTAATTTAGTGCCGTTTTGATCCTCTGTGCAGCATACAGGCTCCCAGTACAACCGTGGTTTGCTCTGGCTCACTTCACCGAAACCAAAGCAATCTTTATTTCAGTTAATAGTGCGGAGACAATCCTGCCACGTGAGAGTGAGTTGGATTCTGTTCTAGCCCATGCAGCAACAGCTCAAAAGTAACTAAAGGATTTCTGTCAAAGAAAGATGAACTAGCTTAGTTGGGTTTTCAGATCCCAGAAGAAGCTCCCACAAGCAGTTGCAATTCATATTTTTTACCTTGTCAGCCAAGCAAGCTAAAGTCTGGAGTCACCAGGCAGCTCATTGAACTTTCAAGTGTCAGTTTTAGATTTTCACTCCAAATATATTACTTCTGGGATTTTTATCTCTATAGTGCTTTTCATCCGTTGCCTCTGCAAAGCAGGCGACACCTAACCACTTGTAAAAGCACTGGGTTTCCAAAGCCCTCTGCAAACACTAAAGGAGTGAAGAATAAACGCAATTGTTTTAATTGGCACCAATATCAAAGCCTGTGAGCCCTATATTTTTTTTTACTCACCAAACGGATGTTTTCTAAGCATTTTGCTGTAAGTGTCTTGAAGAGGGAACTACCCTCGATTTGTTCAGGGAGTTTGCAGCCCGGTACATGGGCCATCTACGGGTGGTATCCTGAGGGGTGACCAGGGCCCTGTGGAGTTTGTGGGGTGGTTGCTCTCCACTAGTGCAGTTTGGTGCGCTGCATCCCCTCCAGATTTTCACACGAGCAGGGCAGCCCTCTGCCTTCCACCCGCAGCAGAAGTCCCAAAATAGAATGATTAAGCAAAGTTTTGCTCTTTCCATTAAAATTCGACTCGGACAGTTGGTTTTGGCCGGACTTTATCAGTGATCTAGAAGACAAAGACTTGGGAACTTGCAGGGACATCCTGTGTGGTGTATTTTTTGTGAAGAGCTTGCTTTCCCCTCTCTCTAATGGCTGGGGGAAGGTTGGATCTGATGTGCAGTGCTGGGCTGAGAGGACACCCTTGGAGAAGTCAGTAGTGCTGGAAGGCAGGTGAAGGGATAAATGGCAAAGCCTTTTTAGGCTGTTTAGGGCTGGTTTTAGTGAACAGTAGCATGCACTGCCCTGACCAGAAACAGTTCAGGCGCTTCTGAGAAAGAAACAGCTCTGCTCCTTGTACGTGGGGAGGCTGGTACGAAGCCATCATTGAGCTACCCCTTGAAAGGCTGTTTGTGGTGAGGTTGCCCTCTCTTTCTGGCTACGCCCTCTGTTATGCTCACAACGCGGTGCTGGGATCTGCTTCAAGGGCAGCTGCGGCACCTGTCTGCCAAATGGGAGCCCCCGCAAGCCCCAGTATTTCAGTTTCAGGTGCCAACAAGTTCATGTTGGAGATCTCATCTTCTGTCACTAGCTGAAGAAGAGAGAGGACAGGAAGGTTGAAGATGAAGAGTTTTGAGTGGTAAAGCTCTTCCAAGACACTAGTCCTGAGAATTCAAGCACTTGTGAGTGTAAGAGGGAGCACAAGAGTTGGGGTGGGAGGGAATCCATGTTAAAAAAGAACCTCTTTTAGTGATCCTAGCAGTTCATTTTAATCTGTTTACTTTGGATAGTAATGAAAGGAAACTGAGCCAGCTGCAGACCTCCTTACTGTGACAACAGTAACCTTTTATTATTTCCATCAAACTCAAGGAGGAAATAGCTTAAACATCTGCAGCTTTTGGACAGGATTGCACACTCAGAAATACAGCTTCAGTGCTACTGTTAAAAGATTTAGTATTCCCTCCACCAGACATGCTGGGAGCAGCATGATGCAAAGACACACGCGCACACACAGAAAACCAGTCCTGTGTTAGGAGCTGGCTCTTCCAGCCTGGTAAATCGTAAACATCATGAATCTGCAACCTTGTGTTGGTGCTGCCATCCCGGAGACTTGGCCACTGGAAGGTTTCTGTAATTACCACCTATTGTTTTCCTCCCAGCTCCGATGAGCGTGTGCATCCGGCAGAAAAGGGCAGGCACTGGCAAAGGGGCTGGGATGGAGAATGCTGGGTAGTGGCTCTCTCCCAAAGCTGTAAAAACTTACATTCTCCAGTCATGCTCTTAGAAGGTGAATGAAGCCAGTCTCGTAGAGGTGGTCTGGTCTCCATAAAACCGTTTGCTCACTTTAGGTTTGCAGCCCTATGTTAGTATTCATTGTGTCTTTAAGTCTTAATTATTTCTGAGAACACTTCAGAAATGCTTGCCTTGTCATTCTTTGCTATTTCTGCAAATGACTTTGTGCCACCTCCTCTGTCATTTAGGAGAGTATGTCCTTTAGGCTCTCTTGTTTTGCTTTTCTTATGCTAAAAAAAAAAATTTCAACTGGAAAAATTCATATCTTTATTGGCTGGGAGCTGATCCTGGCTTTTTGCAGAGAGAGGCAAGAATTCCATTCCAGAGTCACTGCAGCCCTCTTTGCAGGCAGTGAAAAATTGTCAGCTTGCCAGCAAGCAACAAGAAATACTGTCTGTCAGTAAAAAACCAAAATATTTAAAATATAACTGTAAGACAAAGATGAGCTTGAAGGCCTCACCCAGCCTAGTACTTAAACGTGCAAAAATTTAAGTATTTCAGTAGCCCTAGTGGTTTCAGTGAGATGTGCTTGGCCAGTACCAAATTAAAATGAGAGTAAACAGGATGACTCTCCAATGGCATATGTGCTTAATGCTCTAAATGTGATTTTAAAATAGAAGTCTTTGCATCCCCGGAAACATGTCTCTCAGTGAAAGCAGTCCTGTAATGTTTTCTGTATAATTCCAGCTCCTCCAGTAATTACGTGCTGTTTATCTTAATAAAAATCATCCAGATGAAGTCTGTAACTTTGAGTTATTATCTTTAATGTTCTAAAACGTAGGGATTTTTCAATGTTGCTTCTAAATAACTACTGCATTTCATTTCAGAGGTGACTAGTGGAGTCTTGTTAATGTTCAAAGGGTTCAGCAAGGTTTTATTTACAAACTGCATTAAGATTCTTTTACTGAAATCTCTTAGTGTGGAGCGGCCTTCTCTTTAAGGATAAGAATATTTTACGTGTGAAAAGATAATTCCTTGGAATACTAACAGCTCTGTAAGAGAAACTGAAGACTCAGACATACTGACCCCCTATATACTGTCAATTATAAGCCTTCAATTATTTGACAGCAAATTTTTGTGTCATAATATTTCGAAAGACTTAGATCCTCCTGTGCTGTTGCATTACTGTTTCTTCTAGGTCTTACAGCGAAACCAACACTCTAAATATTTTCTTACAGCCAAAGAAGCCAAAGGTCCCTGACAATCCTTTTCATGGCATTGTTTCCAAGTGCTTTGAACCTCACCTTTATGTGTATATTGAGTCCCAAGACAAGTGAGTAACCAGCATGCTCTTTTGGGTTTGTTTGCTTTTGAATGTGTATTACAGTTGGGTTGTGCTAGATTCTGTACTCGAGCTGCTGCAAATTAATTTCTTGAAAGTCTGCTGTCTCATTTCATCAGGAGGAGTATTCATGGTTCGGGAAAGTTAGAATGAGTGGGACCTTTGCTTGGGCAAAAATGAGTGTTGAGGGCTGTGGGTGCTGGTTTCATCTGTAATTTCAAAGGCCTGCAGGAATGATGCCCGATGCCGTTCTGTGGAAGAGGCTTAGTGTTTCTGAAATTGCTTCTGTTGCCTCTGCAATTCCCACTGCAGACGGATGTCTTTCCTTCGTCTCATGTCTTCCACAAATAGTAGGTTTGCTTTTTCTGTAAAATACACATGTGGCTTCATGGCAGAGGAGTTTCAAGATTGCTTTATAGAAATAAGTTATTTGAGATCCTTAGATGAAAGCTGCTGTAGATGAGCTGGCTGTAAGATAACATTATCATCGCTCACAGATTGGGGCTTTGTCAGGGGCTTTAATCCCTGGAACCCTTCTTTGACTTGCAGCAAAATAACTTAAATGAAAGGAGCTTTCAGCTTATTGCTCTGAGAAGTTTTTAGAGCTCTTGTCATACTTTCTTGTGCATCTTGTTTCACACCAGGGTTCAAATAACATCTTTCTATCAACTGCAGTGCCAGCTGGGAGAGGAGGTAGTTGAAAAAGGTTCAATACAGTCTTTTAGTGCAGGTTAGTGGCTAGAAAGGAGAAAGGTACCTGCCTCGTGTAACTCATCTGTCTCTGCCTTTCTGTCTTCCAAAGACTTACACAGCAGAGAGTGCATAACTCGAGGCTTGTGGTGTCCTGATTTTGTCCAAACTCCAAGATAGCCACCTTGAAAAAGCTTTCCCATGTCCCATCGACCTTTTATGCTTAAAGAAAAATAAATAAATTAAACCTTGCACAATGGTCGGTCACGCTGGGTTTAGGTTCCGCTCTGCAGTGTAACAAAGGGAAGCAGATTTCCCCCCCTGCCTTCAGCCAACTGAGCACTAACTTGTTTGAATATTTCTCCCCTTCTCACTGGGGGCCATTTTAATCCCCGTTTAGGTAATTCTACCCCACTGTGCTCCTAGCCCTTTCAGTTGCTTTTTTTTTTTTTTTTCCTTTACAATCCTGAGATGTTTTATATTAGCTTTATAGCCACAAGCTGCAAGGAGTTCAAAGAAAAACTGCCACAGTATTCCCCATGCTGCCTCTGTCTGCCAAAATTTGCTTTCCTTTATGATTTTCTCTCCTCTTCCCCCTTTGATTGAACTTTTGAGTAATCTGCTGCTGATGTCTGAAAATGAGGAGTTGCTTAGATAATTAATTGTATGTTTGGGCTCTGAATAGGAAGATTAACATGACAGTTTTGCTCATCATTGCCTTAAGTCTGTGGCGGAAAGCAGCCTGGACCTTTTCTCCTGAAAAATTGTTTCCATACCCATTTAAAGAAACACAGTGCCAAAATCTGTAGCAATTTAAGAGGAGACACCTGAAAGAAAGACTTTAAAGATGCTGCTTTCCACCCTTAGCTGCAGTGTAAATATCAGATTTCTTAACAGCGAAGCAGATTTCATTTCTGCCCCTTTGGGACATGTCTTGAGCTCTTCTTTGTGGTCCGTTGGAGCAACGGGAGCATACACGTGTGAGCTAAGCTGTTCTGCTGGAGCGAAGGAAGAGCTCTGTCAGGTCTGCAGTTCTGAGATCATGCAGAGCCGTGGTTAAGTGTGCTAAAATTCACGTGTGCGTTCAGATTGTTCTGAAAACTGACACTTTGTCTTTATGTCTGTGGCCTCCATGAATTCCATGGAAATTATCCTACAGTGTCCCGGTGTCTCAGTGCCATTGCCCTTCCCCAGTGCCCAACAGATACCAACTGTTCACATCACTAAACAGGCTGACTTACTATGCACCGTGTTCTTCTCTCACACTGCGGAGGAGTTGTCTGGTTCTTCTCGTGATTGCCAAGATGCAGAAAAAAAACACTGAATAGGTTGAGTGAAAGAAAAAAGGAAGAGGAATATAGGAATGAAAGGATTCCAGAACCAGAATAAAATTCCCTTTATATGATTTCATTTCATATTTTCTCTTGGTTAGATTTGGAAAGTTCTTGCTCCCAATAAATACTACTGAGGAGATATGACATCTGCGCTACCAGATAATTTTCTTGGATTTTTTTTTTGCAGAGTCCATAGAGAAAATGTTCGTTTTCTGTAGCTCTCCTGCCTTCTTCATGTTTCATCTCCCAGTAGCTTTTTCTGCCGAATTCTTTGTGCTCCCAGTGTACCACACAAAGGTTGTTAGCCTTCGTGTTGTATTTGGGCAGCTGAGACCACTGTGATTGACATCATTGGAGGTGAACTTTAATAATACATTAGTTGCCTTAGTGCACAATATCCTGATGTTTTGCTTGTATCAGTCCTGTGCTGTAATATGAGCAGCCTCACGGCCTGCCTGTGACAGGCAGTTTGTCCGGGTTAGAATCAGGACGAGCATGAAGCTGTAGTGCTGCTCTCCCACCTCTTTTGGACAGCTGCATTTGTTCATGCATCCCAGCTGCATGGACCTTGGGGGGGCCAGGAAAATGTGGATGCGTTTCACTTTGCCTCGGAGGAGAACATGTGGAGTAAGCATAAAGAAACAAAAGCCATTGACATTCCTCACTGCGTCCTGAGACTTGAGAGAGAAAAAAAAAAAAAGAAAAAAAGTGGCTGGTGAATGCTAAGAAAGCTCCACTTTGTTGCCCAGATGGTGCAAAGCGCAGATGGAAATGCAGCTGCTTAATTTAGTGGGACTTTTGACATGGAGGAAGCCACGTCCACATCTACTTTACTTGAGAAGCTGAAGGAACACCGCAGCTTGCAGCACGTGTGAGCCCTCCTGCAGCAGCCATCTGTTTGGCTCTCCTGCAGCTTCGGGGAGAGGTGTATTGGTGTATTTTGCTTCACTGTGGTCAAATACAATCAGTGCTTCGGTTCAGCGTTCAATCGCTCGTGCCAGCGTAGAGATTTATCACATCAGTTGAGCAGCCTGATGTTTTTACAGTTCTTGTAATAAAGCCGAGGAATTGTTTGTATCTGTGGAATCAGAGCTATGTAAAATATTCAAAGCAGCGAGCAATAGGCGTGAAAAAAGGGGCTACTTGTCTTTGCAATAACCTATGAGCCTAGCTTAAGCCAAAGAGCTTTGCTTCATGATTTAAAGCCCTGATATTGCAAGCACGTTTCTGTAGATTAGTTTGGCCTGGTGGATCATCCACGGTAGCAGCTCATCCATTTGGGTGCAGCCATCTATAAGTTTATCAGGAAAGAGCCAGGTCACTTCTCCACTTGCGAGGTGTTGTGGGTTCTTTGGTAAACTGGAATCAGAGTGGTTTTTCTTTTTCGCGAGAGGAAAAGAAAGAAAGGACAGAAACTGGGGCAAAGTTTTCATTGTTGGTGGGGCTTTTTCCCCTTTCACTGGCAGAGGTAAGTGAGGACGTACTGAAGAGTCTCAGCCACTGTGCTGGCTGTACCCATCCCAGAAGACACTCATGCCGTCTCTGCATGAACTCTCGTGTCATGCTGGGTGCCCTGTGGGTTGGCCTAAGACCAGCAGAACATTTCAAGTTGAAACTCTTTGATGGGCTTTTAAAGAAGATTTTTTTTTTCTTTGTATGGACAGCATTGCAATTCCGTCAAATAAATCTGTTCCTGAAAAATAATATATTAACTATAAAGTAATGCCTTATTTTTTTTAATGAATGTTTAGTTTCTTGCTGGAGTAACAGTTCAAGTTCTTTCTTCTCCCGTTCTCCTTCTAAGATTTGTCTTTCCACTTAAGGACCCTGAATCATGGCATGGCACAGCCGTTGCACCCTCAGTAGTGAGAGAGGTGATGGCTGTACCGAGGGAGGGGGGAAGCTGGGGGAGGTCCGTAGTGAAAACGGGAGTATAAAATTCAGGAATTTCATAACTCCTTTTGGTCAGCAGAGTGCCCTTCTGTCAGCTGAAATGCCTATATATTCCTCAAAAGCTGAACTTCCTTGTGGAAGGTTGTGTGTATTTGTGTGTCTGGGGGAGGAGGTTTATTGCTGTAATTTAGTCCATCTGGCAAAGGTTATTCCACTTAGCTGAGCTCCGGTGTCAGGAGAGCTGGTTCTGGTTCCTGACACGGATGTGCTGTCTCAGGAGGAGTAGGACCAGAGGAACTCCCCATGATCAGAGAACTTCTTTGGTTCTGTATTGATGGTTCTGGCTCTCTGCCATGCTAAAAAGCCTTTTTGTCGTGATGGAACGGTGGAGTGAAGTTTATTGTTGCCTAAAGACTGAAATATTTGAGTAAAGACCAGGTTATAATGAATCACTAGAGACAATAGGAGGGCTTTTTGTGCTTTTAAAAAGAGTTTAAGTAGGAAGTGCACTTTGCGCTCATGCTAAATAAAACTTCTTTAAAGGATGTGTGAAGTTGTGCAAAACCAGGTGGTATCCAAATGGGACCAAGAAATGGCAAATGGCACAGCATTTTGAGCACATCCCTTTAAAAGCCATATTCCCTGAGGTCTGCTCCGGAGGCCGCTGATATGGGAAGCCCGACTGTTACTTTTGCTGGTGCCAGGAATGAAATTTGAGCATACGCTTTATGCACTTGCATCAAATATGCTGAACCTAGTCCTGGCAGACTTGCAAGCTTTTATATGTGACTGGAGAACAGATTGAAGCTGCCACTAAAAGTCTTGAGTACGAAAGGTCGTTACCGGTTGGTCCAGTCCTCGTTATTGTATGAGATTTGTGCTGAGAGGGCGGAGATAAGAAAAGGCTGGAATACCCAACTGCTAAAATATGAATGTGTTGCTGGTGTCACAAGACAGGGCATCTGGTTTTAAGCATTATTCTCTCTCTTCCCTCCATTTCCTCCCCCAACATACTAAAATACCTTTCTCTTGTTTCCGCCATCAGAAATCTCGGTGAACTGATTGACAGGTTTGTGGCTGACTTCAAGGCTCAAGGTCCTCCCAAGCCCAACGTGGATGAGGGAGGAGCCGTCCTGCCCAGCTGCGCTGACCTTTTTGTGTACTACAAAAAGTGCATGGTGCAGTGCTCCCAGCTCAGCACCGGCGAGCCGATGATAGCCCTGACCACCATATTCCAGAAGTACCTTCGGGAATACGCCTGGAAAATTCTCTCTGGAAACCTGCCCAAGTGAGTTTTGCTTCCCAAATGCTGCAGTGCTGTCTGGTGAGACATTCCAGTGAGGAGCAGATGCTTTGTAAAGATAATTAATAAATATATATTTGCGAACACTTAATGTTTCCCTGTCAAAGAAACCACGTAGCAGCAATATGACTGCATTTACTTCACGATTTTCTCAAAAGTTCAGTTCGTGGCAGTGAGAAACAAATAGACAGTCACGGCATTGTTTTTCTTTTAAGGGCCCCTGGAGGATAGCTTCATATTTGGCTTTGGTTAGCAGTCAGATTTACAGTTTCTTGAAGTTCCATTTGAAATGCCAGCCCAAGTCTCTTCAGAGAGGTCTGGCTTTCAAAATTGCACTTACCCTGCCACTTGGGTAACGGTCATACTGTGTTTCTTAGCTGCCTTGGCTCAACAGTATACATATTATTTATAACAAAGGTGGTTTATTTGTGTGATGCTGAAGTGCTTACCTGCATCTTCCCCTGCTCTGTAACATTTTATATATGTATGAATAAAATACGTAGAAGTAAATGCAGTGAAAATAAAGGAAATCATTCTGGTTTTGCACCAGTGTGGGTAAGCATACAGGCTAAAGGAGCTCCTTACTTTGCCAGCCTTAAGTACAGGTAATTTTGTATGCTGTTTGTTTCCCCTGTAAACCTGGGAGCAGCAGAATGAATTTCTGAAACCAGTAAAATCTTTTACAGATGGAAGGGGAGAGGGTTCCATCCAGACAAGTGGAAAGATAAATTTAATGTGCATTCTCCATCAGACCTCAGTTGCATTCTTTATACACATTTTTTTGTGTGCTCCATTTTTGCTGTCCAAGATAAATATCACTGTCCTATTTTTTTAATGGATTTGGATTATAAAGACTCAAGAGGTAGGGAATTTCCTGACTCTAAACTGTTCTGAGTCCTTTGTTGATACACAGTCGTTAATCACTGGAAGACGGTGGAAAGAAGCCACATCTTCTATAATTTACTGCGTTGATATGATCAGTTTTTCAAACAGGTTAGCAAAGTTTCCAACGCATGTTGACATCTGTTTAAGACTGAGAAGATAAATATGACAAGCTGCCTGATAGTTACAGAGATTTGTCTGTAATCTTTAATTAGATTTTGAGTAACTGGCAGTGAAGGTGAAGCTAGCTGGGGAAGGCTGCATTCCACTTGCATCCTAATCTACCACGTTGTGCATAAGTGAGTTACCCTTTGCCTGAAGATGTGATACAAAGTTCTGTTTGTCTTTCTAGAAGATGTCCCTTAATCAAAATAGCAGTTGTGTGCTTGATGTAGAATGACACTGACCTGTGTTGCACAGGGCATTTGGACTTTGTGGTCATAAAGGCTCTTTATGGCATTGAAATGTAGCAGTCATTTTGCAATGTCTGTGTCTGTACACCTGAAAACCTTAGGGGTTTTGTCTGTTTTTTTCCAGGACGACTAGTAGCAGTGGTGGACTCACCATCACTAGTTTGCTGAAAGAAAAGGAAGGCTCTGAAGTGGCTAAGTTTACTTTAGAAGAACTCTGCCTCATTTGCAGCATCCTTAGTACTGCAGAGTATTGCTTGGCGACCACCCAGCAGGTGAGTTCTCTACTGCATCTCTGAGGGGGCACCCAGCAGTGGCCCCTCTTCTGTCACGAGATGCTGTGCTGCTCCCTCTCCAGGGGTGGGCTGCTGTGCAGGATGGAAGAGTCAGAAGTACTGAAACATCCATAGTAGTGTCCGCTACTCATAGTGTCCCGTTGATTATTGAGCTCTACATTATTAAATCTATATTTCAAGAAAAGAGAAGTATTGATTTTGCTGTTTCTACCTGAGAAAAGTCATTTGCTTGTAAATCCTGCTTTGCAGCATCAGTTTTGGATGCTGTCCTTTTATACTTGTTACGCAATTTGTTTTGGATTTGGAGCCAAATTTTTTATTTAAAAAAAAAAAAATAATTCTTCTCATGGTTCATGATCTCCCTTTTATAAAAACAAGAAAAACGGTAATTCAGAATAGGTTTGGAAAAACACTTGCATGAAATATTGGGGCAAAGGTAGAGTGAGGAGAGAAGGTGTTTGTGCTGATGTGCTTTTCAGCCACAGTGCCCCTTACATTCAGGTGCTTTCCAGATGCCATGGGTTAGGAGATGAGCAGTGATGTTTGCCCAACTAGAACTGACAATCCTCCTCTGCAGTTTGGGCACAGACAGGGTGTTAGAAAATGTATTTACTAGCAGGACAGGTGCCAGGGTGTTAAGCTAGTACGTTACCATGTCATACTGGAGTTACATATATGACCTTGGAGGTTACTTGCTTGAGGACACCGTGTCACCATAGGCCGTCCTGGCAGATCAGGATGTCTACGGTGTCCGACAGGGAGAGATTTCCAGTGTTCACTGACTGAGTTTTGGATATAGCCTAGGCACAGATTAGGTTTTAAGAAGTTGACTTTTACAGGACATAAGTTTTCAAGAACTGTCATTTCAATTAAAAAATCTGATCTTTCTGCTGCTTGTTTTGTTTCCTAACAGTTGGAAGAGAAACTCAAAGAAAAAGTGGATGCAAGTCTAGTGGAGCGAATCAACCTGACAGGAGAGATGGACACTTTCAGCATGTATGTTCAGCAGATGTATCCTCCCAGAATATATCAAACATCCTAGTTTGTCAGCCAGATGGTGCTGGAGTAATGCAAGTCCAAGATCCCAGTGTCTTAGGACCCAGCCAGCAGTAGGACCCACCCAGACACGCAGCCTAGGCATAGGCATTTCCCTGGTGAAGGAATGGTCATCCTTCAGCTAGTCCAAGAGCAGCACTAGTACAGACTTTAAATGTAGTTGTTCCCCATCGTCCTAGCCAAAGGAACAAGAGCACTGGAAAGGGGAAAGGAAATAGTGAGTTTCCATTTGAAACATCATTTGCATCTTGGCAGCTCTGTGAGGTGGCTGTTACATTTCAAGAAAGGAAGCTATTTCAGTACGTTCCTTCCTGCTTTAACTTCCCACTGTTAATCAGCAGCCTTGTCAGTATGAACAAACCCCATTTCAGATGACATAAAAGACCGATCCAATCTTATATTTGGGGATTATAATTGAGAGAAGATTATCATTCATTAAAATAACTTTTCACATAATGATGCTAAAAATATTCCCCTCTAACATCCTCTCCACCACTGACAGATTGAATATTTTTTCAGAAGGAAATCGAGGCAAAAAAATAATTGTTTCACCTCACATCAGACAAAAGAAAACCTTGGCAAAGCTGTGAAAATAATCCCTATCACCAGCTCTCCTTCTCCCTAAAACTAAGATTCAGCCCAGATAGCAATAAGATTTTTTTCAGAAGGCTTCCTTCCTGTGATTCCTTCTCTCTTGCTCCAGTGGGCAGGATCCCACTGAATCTCCATCCAGGTTTTTCACGTGGTCTCGGGCTCCATTCCAGGCTGCAGAGACTCCCTTCCTTGTAGATATTTCTCAGGCCTTTTTAAGAGTGAGTCCCTGACCAAAAGCTAGGGTTGCTGTATCTGCTAAGCCAAAGCAAGCAAGGTGGCTAGGGCGTAGAAATAAAATACGCCATATGATGGGATTTTCTTGACATGGACAGGTTGAGCTTTGTGTTTTCTTGTGACCTGTCTGGCAGGAGCCAGCGACACTGACTTGCTGCTCAGTTTCCACAGTGGCTGACTGACGAGGTGGTTGGTCGTAGGCAGCCAATATGATGTGTTTTGGAAATTGTTTAAATGTATAGTTCACATTTGCTGTTTTGGACAGCTTTAAAGTTAAACTGACAGGCCTGATGTATCTTGTAACAAAGGCTTTTTAATTGACTTTCAGTCTGTTCCAGTATAGAGCTTTGTCCAGTCTTCTGTCAGTGTAAGTTGTAGCTATAAACCTCTCTGGCATTTGCTCATTCAACATCAAACAAGTTGTTTCTTCTGGGATTTGATGTCTTGTTCGGCACGGTCATAAGGAAAGTGATAAAACGTTGCTGCCTACACACTCTGGAAAGTGTTTCTTCCTTCACAGAGAGCACAGAACCACCCCGAATGTGTATAAAGCAATCGACTCGGAATGGGTTTACCCCTGGGGTGACTAAGCATTGTCTTTAAGAAATGTGGGAAAAATAATGAGCTCTTCCTGAAGCACAACAGAAGGAATATTGTTAATGTAAATCCAGAAATTCATGATTCCCACCCCCTGCCCCGTAGATCTGTTGTGAGATTATGGGCAGCGTTCAGAGACCCCTTGAAGGCCTGAAGCATTGAGGTAACTATAGTGAGAACTTGCCATACTAGAACTATACTGCTCATTTACAGCCTCAGCTGCTCAGTCTGTCACCTTCTGTGCATCTGTCAGGGATTGTATGAGGATTCACTAACTGCTGCTGAAGTACTGTTAGGTGCTGCCTGGGGCAAAGATTTGAGGGACTGTCAAATGCTAGGTAAATGGTTGGACTGGATGATCTTCAAGGTCTTTTCCAACCTAGACGGTTCTGTGTGAGGATCCAAGCCCCCTTGGCACGTCATAACGCTTTGTGTTGGCAACGCGCCTCTTGCTGCACCGTTACCCCTCTACAGCAGGTGTTTCTTTTGAATAATTTGTAGACAGATGGGTTTCTCTCCCTGTTTGCAGTCTTGTGGCTCTTAGGTGAGAGCTGTACGTGGTGACCCAGGCTCCTGACGTGTGGGGACTAGTGATGAAGTTGCTTTCCTTCCACTGAGAGGGTTGTGTTTCGTTTTGGTGCTGAACCACAAGTCTTTCCTACGGGTCACTGGCAGCAGCCACCCTGCAGCAGTCAGCCGTGCCCAAGAGATGGTTATTCAAGTTTGGCTCCCTTGGCCTTGCTTGAGCTGGTGAAATCCCCAGAGGGACTAAATCCTGTAGTGCCCAGCAGAAGCAGAGGCACCAGCAGAAGTGGTCACAGGCTTTTTTTTTATCCCAGTGCAAGTTTCGGATCACGTAACTCGAAGCCTGTAGTCACTTCACCTTCCATGCTAATTTTTCCAACAAATTTTGGATGAGTTTGCCTTTACAAACAAATTAATTGCTCTTGAAGGAACAGTCTTTTACTTGGCATCCCATTCCAGTCTTTATGTGCTAGAGCTGTAGGAAAGGGTCTAGACAACCTCTGTGAAGGTTGTCTAGACACCCACAGCCCAGCAGCAGAATTCAGAGTAGGTGATACCGTATCTCGATGAGGAGGTGGACACTTAAAAATATTTTGAATAATGAACTCCAGACTAGTACCCAGAACCTCACAAAGAAGATGAGGGGGAGGAAGGATGGCTTGAGGAAGCATTGGTCAGATTTCTTGTAGATCTACGATTTCCATCTGTGCCACCATCATGAGAAAGACCAAAAGTAAAATCCAGTCCTTACATATATATTCCCAAAGTTGTAAACAGGCATCTGTGGCAGATTTAAAGTTTACGTTGTTTTTAAAACTGCACTTACTTAGTGAAACACAGTCCCTTATTACTTCTAGAAGTTGTCTGTAATGTGAGTACTGGGTTATGTGCCCTTGAGGGTGGTCTGAGATGCTGCAGACAGTGTTTCTCAGCTGTTGTTTTAGGATCATTTGCACCTTTATGCACATTGTAATATGGTGCCATCAAATATGTCTCTAAGCAATATCATGCTGTTTGGGGGGAAAAAAAAAAAAAAAGGAGGGATGGAAATGTGTTTGACTAATGTGTGTTTTAGTCTGGTGTGTGTCTCTGAGAAACTCAAACAATGGATGGCGGCAGTCCTAGATGTAATGTAAATAAGACATCTGCCTTGATCTTCTCGGATGGGAGACACGTTCAGAACTCATACAGATGTACTTTTTAAAATCCTCTTTGCAAGTTTCTGTGAAAAGTAGAGCACTGCCTGTGAATGAGTGGAGAGATGATAAAATGTTAGTTTTATGCAGACTGGATTAAATGTGAAGCCAAATCTCAGTCTGGGCTCGGTACTCAGGGGTTTCTCCCCTTCCTGATGCAAAGGTGGAGGGGTTACCCCATCTGACACCTTTGATCTCCAGCCCCTCTATGTGTCAAAACAGAGAAAGCTCAACTGTAACAATGTCCTCTGTACACCAAAGCCCTTTGTGTCGCTCCCCGATGAGCAGCATGCAGAACTTCCCAGCTTCTTTTCAGTACAAGTTTTAGCCGTGTGTACTCACAGCATAACTCCACTGTCGGCTCGTAGATGATTTTCCTCCTTTCACAGTCAAATAAGCCAGTTCTGGCACTGTGTTGCCGAGTACAATTCTAAAACTCGCACTTGATGTTTTTTGCAGTGTGATCTCCAACAGCATACAGCTGTTAGTGCAGGACCTGGATGCAGCCTGTGACCCTGCCCTGACTGCTATGAGCAAGGTAGGGGATGGATTTGTTTTGGGAAGAGGGAGCCTTAAGATCCACGTGGAGTTCTTGTTTGCTTTGATTGCTTGATTTCACTATTGACATTTCCCTTTATGCTGCCTTGAGACTTAGCCGTCTATTGATTTCTTCTTGCTTCTTAGAGCAGCAGTTGCTCTAGTTATAAATACATCCTTCACCCCAAAACCTCCTGTCGTTCAGATTAGAGCTTTTCCTCTTTTGCAGCTCATTAAAACACACAGACAATGAAATACTTTCTGCAAGTACACAGAGCTTTCTCTTTTCGCTCCTAATGCCAGCGAGAGCCTTTAAAATTGGGAAAAGTTTTGTTAGCATGAAATTTCAAATACACCTTCTCATTTTCTATCCTCTTTTTTTCTTTGACAAGGAGTTTTTACTAGCCAGCTTGTTTGTGGCTGTTAAATGGAGGTACTCAAAGGGTAATATGGAATTGAGATTGAGCCCTATTGCTTCTGTGATCCTCTCGAGGACATATGGAGCTGTTCCTAGAGAGGCCCATATGATCTGTGCTTAAGGATTTTGTTGCAGTTACACTGCTGGCTTTTATACGTTTGAAACGCAGAGCTGTGTTTTCTTGCCAAAGTATTGTAAAAACCCAGACTGCTTTAGACAGAGGTGAAGACAACAAAAGTGGATTGAACTATTTTTTTTTAATTAGAAATATTAAACATAGAGCTCCATTTCTGTAGGATCAACACACTGTCTTGCTGCCATGAATTTTAATAGCTTTCTGCTTTATGATGTGTTCCAGCTGTAACTAGCCCCACCACCCCCAGCTAATATTTGAAGTGGAATGCAGCTGGTAATAGAGCTTGTACATGTTCCAAATGAAAAGGGGATTTTTTTTTTTTTCCTCCCCCCCCAGTAAAATAGCACCATTAGGAAGGGCTCGGCACTTCAGGTGTTGTGTGTGTGCCATGTCAGTTCCTTAGATCTCCTGAACCTACGTAGCATAGTAGTATTTGAATCACTTAGCTCTGACTGTTTATACCCAAGTAAACCACAACCTTGAGAAAGCAGCAGCTGGTAGGCCATTTATTTTTGTCTTTGGAACACTGGTAAAATGCAACACATGTGATGGGACTGATGATATATAAACAAGTTAAGTGTTATGAAATTAGCTAAATAAATACTTGTCACTCGTGCACACATTCCACTATTTGCATCAGACACAGTCACTTTTATGTGATTTTTTTACTAGACCTGGGTTTGGTGCAAGAGATTTTTTTTTTCCTTCACCCTCCTCCTCCGTTTCCTTCAGGGCTGGGTTATTACTCTGACAGTTGAATAAGAAATGGATATAATTATTTAAACACAGAGTTAGTATTAGGATGTGTAAAATTTCAGTCTTTATTAAAGGAATAGACTGTGTGCCTGATCCATTCCAATTTTCCTGCACTGGGAAAGGCATGTGTATCTCAACACCCCTACTCCATTAGGGCTCTTCTTTGTTTCGCTTCTTTTCATTTACTTCACTCTGGTGTCCTCCAAGATTCAGCATTCCCAGTCCTTTGTTGGAGTCTGACTTTTTTTTTTTTTTGCCTTGCAAAAATGTTCGGTAAGTATAGAGGTAAATTAAGAAATACTTAAACGTCTAAATCCACTTTGGCTGCCGGCCACTTTGAGAGATTTAACACAGAAAATGGTATCGTGAATATTGCTTTCAGCTGGGAATGGGGCTCAGTTGCACTGATTCTTTACCTTGTGTGTTCTGGAAAAAATGGTAAATGATGAGAAGGCCCCATATTACAAAATTTGTAGGTGATAATCTTTACTCAAACTTTACAGCAGGTGTAGAATGATTAAATACGGCTGTAGGACGGGGAGCTGGGATGTGGGGTGGGAGAGGAATTTTCCCTAAACCCCTGTTGTCATACTCTGGATAACAGAGTGCTGTGAATCTGTTGTACTGATCTGTAGCAGGTGCTTAAATTGCCTGGGGTGCTTTTTTTTTTTTAATTGTTGGGTTGAGGGAACCGCTAATCTGCATGGGATATTTTTGCCCCAATTAAGTTTATGGATTGCACTGGATAAGGTTTGATTTACTTGCTAAATTAAACGTCGATTTATATGTAAAACTGTGCTTGTAAGTGGGGCTGGGGGACATTTTAGTGACTCATATTGATCGCTTGCTGTTTTTTTATATTTTGCTAAAACCTTTTGGCACAGCTACAGTTTCCTACTTACTTACAATTGAGTGGACAACAGCAAGCCCTTAAACACAGAGCTCTAATAATCTCTCCAATACATACAAGGAAAACCCCAAAAGCAGAGCAATCAGAGCTGCCAGCCGCTAATTAAAAGTCAGCGTGAGTGCATTTTAGCCCTCAAACAAGGTGCAGCGTGCAACAGTGCAACCCAAAACTCGTGTCAGAAAACAAGGGAGGCAGTTTCAAAGGCAGCGATATCAGCTGCCTGCAACACCCACTGGCTTTCCTCTCCCCTCCCACCTCTTCCTGCATGAGCAACACGAGGTCAGGGGGGAGGTCCTGGATGCCCCCCGTGCCCCGTCTGGAGCATGTAACGATAAGCCAGCAGCGGGATGCTGCTGAGCACGAGGAGCCGTGGAGGCTGGTTTGTCCTCCATTAAATCATGAAACAACCCCTTTGGTAGAGACCCATGTCCGTGCTGAACGTGGAGGAGGGACCTGGTGGTTCCTGGTTTGGCCATGCCACCCCACTCGCAGCTCTCTGGGGACACAGGGACATGTGGGAACATGGGCACCGCCAGCCGGGCAGAGCCCTGGAGCACCCACTATGCCCAGAAGTTAGTGTAGCTCTTAGCCACGCCACCCCAGTTCTCCTCAGGGTTTCTCTCTTCTCCTCCCCTTTTTAAGAAAGCGCCTTAAAATCTTGAGGATCCTATGGTTTTTGGTGTGAAAAACCAGCTCTAAAGGTAGCACCTGGCCACCCCCCGCGCTGGGTTCTCCCTTTGGCCAGCGAGCGCGAGGCCTTGCTGCTCCTGTTCTTCAGGCTCATTTTCAGCTTGTGTATGTAAACGATGTGGATATCCCAAGAAAAACATAGGACAAGGGAAAAAGAGGAATAAATTTAAAATGACAGGAACAAAGCTTTACCAGAAGAGTTGGGCTCGTATTTCTTTTGATGACTTTTCAGTATGTCTACTATGTCTTTCATTGCAGCTACCGTTTTTTTTTTTGGGGGGGTGAAACACACACACACACAAAGGGCTATTTTTACTGTTAGGCTTTAAAGGTTTGGTTGTACAGCACTGCTTTTGGAATGAAGACCAACCAAGTGAAAAAGCTACTTTTTAATTGTTGTTTCAATAATTCAGCTCAGCAGTCCCGTCCCGCTTTCTGGCCATTCCCACTACATGGGGATGGTCTGTTGGTTGAGGATTGCTGTCTGTCAAGAAGGGCCAGCACTGGGAATGTGAGAGTCCACTGGGGAGACAGGCACAAAGTATTTTTCTCAGGTATGACAAGTACCCTGAGGAGCAGAAAAGCAGTTCTTTCTTGAGCAACCTTCCACATGGAAGTAAGATGGAATGAAAAACCTGTAGAGCAGGTGATGAGAGAGATATTCCTTCTAGCTACCCCGGTGGTGTGAGAGGTTGGGGGTTGGTTGGTTGGTTTAAATAAAGGCAGATTTGGTAGGACACATGCAGACTCTCTCAGACACTGCGGTTTTGCAAAGAATTTGGCTTCTCTTGCCCATTAAGTCACTGAGGCTGCATGTTGTTCAGATGGAATTGAATCAGCTGGGTTGCAGTGGACAAAGTAGCAGTAATTAAATTAAAACCAGGAATAAAAAAAAATGTACATGCAAAATCTAGAACTTGAGAAAACAAGTTTGAGGACAAACACCCCCTCAAAAGAAAAAAATTGTCTTCTGCACGTGCCCGGTTTCCTACCCCGATTTCATAGCTGTTTTCCTCCTTTTTCGTCTTCAGAGTGAGGAACGGTATCTCCAAACAGTCAGTCGGAGCACATGGCAGTAGTCTCTGAGCATCAGCAGAGCTAAGAGTGCTTTTCTGGATGCTCGTGTTCCTCAGTGAGACTTTGTTATACACACGGACGCTTGGCCAGGCCTTACCCAATTACCTCTTTGTTTTTCACATGACTTACACTGTGTACTCCCTCTGTACTGCAAAGAAGGCTCAGAGAAAGTCAAGGGAATCGCACATCTGGCTCACAGGGGCTATTCTGTTGCATTTCTGCTGACAGTAAATGAAAACAAAATGGGAGGTTGAGTAACTCTTCTTGGTTTGTATTTTTGACGTGTATTTGGGATGAGCTGAAGTTGGCATCCTAGCTTATACACCAGAATTGTTTTCAGTGTGAGCCACGCTGGTGTAGAGTGCTTTGGACTTTAAGACTATTTCTACCTCTTCCATCTATCTGTCATCAGTCTCACCAGTATTAAAGTCTTGGCTGCCATACAGGAATCCAGACTTTGCAAGCTTGCAGATATTTTCTCAAATGCCTGTAATCAGGATTTATATGGGCACTTCATCCCAGCAAACTGGAAACTGTTAAATATTAAGGCAGTCTGGCATGCTCCAAAAGCTTTTTGAATCCTAGTGGTCCTCGTCTGTGTAGGTTAGTGGTCACAATCACTCTCTGCTCTGGTGCAGAAAGGGCTGTTCTGGGTTTTCTTTGTATCTTCTTGTAGAAGGGCTTTGCTCAGTCAGTGTAGTGACGAAGAACTTGACCTTGGTGGTGAATTGCAGACGCAGTCTCTTGATGATTCCTTAGAGATCTTTTTGCAGGAAGTTTGTGCAGTTTTCCTTACCTCTTGCTTGAATCTTAATGAGTTAAACAGTCTTTTTGGTTGTTTTTTCCCCTTTGTGCAGATGCAGTGGCAGAACGTGGAACACGTCGGTGACCAGAGTCCTTATGTCACCTCAGTGATTCTCCACATTAAGCAGAACGTCCCTATCATCCGTGACAATCTGGCCTCCACGAGAAAGTATTTCACTCAGTTCTGCATAAAATTTGCAAAGTAAGTTACCGACGTGGCACAGAGTTTGTCGAGGTCTCTGGTTTGCAGTAGCCTGTTTGTACATGATGAACTATTTCTAGCGTGCAGCATCAGTGGCTGTTAGTGCCTGGGTGAAGACCCTCTCCATCCAAGGAGACCACAGAGGGAGGTGGAGTAGAACAGCAAATACCAGCAGCTGCTAGAAAGGTTAAAAAATACTTCAATATCTTGTCAAGTTTTCTGCTGAGGCAAATTTTCTCAGATATTTATATTGATTGGTTCCTTCTCACATGCCTGAACCACCCCATAAAATATTGTGATGATCCCTGTCTACTGTTAACCAGCAGGAGGTTTTGGGTTGGATGTCTTTAAGAAGTTTTGAATGTAGACATGACTCTTGCTATGGGGATTTACTTCCAGTGAGAAGAGGCTGTGGTGCTTGCAGGTACTGAGAAATTTGGTGTATCATGTGCCTCAAAATAACTTTTAAAATAGCTATAGCACTGTAAGGAGGGCATGTGTGATGAGTATGTTCTACCTTCACAGTCTAAAAGCTGCTTTTCTGTGTAAAAACATTTCATTCCAGAGGGGAAATACACATTCAGATTTTGGAGGATATTATGAGTGTCTTCCTGGTAAATCACTTAAAGTTGAGCAGCATGGAAGAACTGGAAGATGAGACAGAAATGCCCCTTGCCTCTGGATTCAGGGTTGAGGGTGCAGCTCTCCAGCATCTCTTGGGCATCCAAACTTGGTAGCTGTGTGTCCGAAACAAAAATTCAGTTCTTTGGGAAGATAGTTTGAACTCTTCCTTGCTTGCCTGTGGCCAGCTGAGCTTTACATACCAGTGCCCCAAGAAAAACCCTCAGGAGGACTCTGCCAATTGTAGCTTCTGCTTTTGGTGTTGCATGTGACTATGCTGGTAGACTTGGGAGCGGGACCATGCGTATCGTGTGTCGCACTAAAATACCTTAACGTTTCATTCATCTATAATAAGCTAATCATCCTGAAATAAACTGTATGGCCTGGCAGTTACTGTGTGGGTTTGAGACTGGAGCTTCAGCTCTTGCTTCAGCAGGGAAGGATGCAGCAGCCTCCCCTGAGAACTGTCAGCCTTCACAGCCAGGAGGCTGGCCTGAGAGTTTCGTTCCCCCTTTCTATCTCAAGATACTTGTTAGTTTGCATTAAGGAGCAGTTACTGATAAATCATATTATGACGTTGCCCATAATCACTGTTTGAAATGCTGTCTCAGTGAAAATTTATTGCACTTAAGCTTTCTATGTGGTTACGCTTGAATTTTATAATCGCTAACATGGTGATAAATAAAAAACCCCATTTACTCAGCTGTTCGCAGCACACTCTTAATACCTCAGCTTATTTGCCTCCCTTTTAACTTTATTGCTAAGCACATACCAAGTAAACTCTGGATAAAATACCCAGCTCTCACATTTGAGAAAAGTTCACATCTGAGCTGGGTGCCTTCATCACAGCTTGTTCCACAGAAGAGCAGAGAAACTGCAAAACTACTGCTCCACTTCAAAACCTTTTTAAAGACAACTACAGCTCTGATCTACAGCACATTAAAACTAAGAGACAGTCCTGAATTCACTGTTCCATGGATCGGGTGTAGAAGTGAAAATTTGGTTCCCGAAGATTGTTTTTGCTGGATCATATTTAGAGTCCTTCTGTACAACTCGGTTTTAAGGAGAACTAGCCCAGTAGTAAGGGTGCACTGACCTTAAAATGCTTATGACACTTTAACGTGTACAAACATTTATATTTTTGAAGCTCTGAATTCTTACGGAATATGCTGGCCTGCCCGATATAAATACCTGGCCTTTTGTGTGCTCTGCAACGCTGAAAAACCTTTTAACAGGCATTGTGCTTCTCTGTATGGTAATGCCTGTGTCTTTTTGAGCTGCCAGCCACTTCTCAGCTCTAATGGATTGTATAAAGCGCTCGTGTTGAGTTACAGGACCACAGGGGAGAAGGCATCTAAAGTCACTAAATTTAAAACTGAGGGATCCGAGCCAAGTCTGGAAGAAGAAAAATGGCCATCAGAAATTGCATCAATCCTTTAACCTAATTTGTCATTTTTGCTTTGTTTTGACCAATATGCAACCCTCACTCCCTTGAAATAGTGAGAAGCTTTCCAGGAGGCACTTGCAGGCAGGGTGAGGGGCTCTGTTCTCCCTGCACCTTGGTCTGTATCCTTTGAAATCAAAAACCACAGCGGTGGAGCTGTGGCTGCTAGGCCGAGATGTGTTTGGGAAGTCTGTGACCTGACCTCAATGAGGAAGAGATTAGAACCGAGAGACAGGAAAAACAAACAGCTCTCCCCCTCACCAGAAAAGCGGCTCGTCCGTCACGAACAGCCAGGCGTGGTGGGTAGCTGCAGCAGGCATCCTCCCAGTTGCTCTGGCCTTTGCATCGTGCTTTTAGTGGGAGCTGTTAGGTGGAAGAAGATCGTGACGAGGAGACTTTGGGAGGTTTCGAAGCAATGAGCTGAGCTAAGCCTGGGCGAGCCTGCAAGGGCTGGTCACCACCTCGGAGGGTGGCGTAAAGCAAAACCCTTCTCAGCTGCAGTGACTCAGTGACACCAGGATGCTTTGGATGATGTCCTGCAGGAGCTCGTCTCCCATCAGGCGACAGACTGTGGTTGCATCTCTGTCTGCCTCGCTTAGCAAGGCATTGTGTTTGATGCATCATCAGTGCAGGGGATTAGGAAAACACTGGCTTTGGCAGAGCCACTCCTCTTGGATGGGAGCCTCTCAGATGCTGTGGTTTCTGTGCTTTAGGTTCCTAATCTGTCTTGCACTGCTTTATTATTACACAGGGGACTTGTCTGCTTCTATGGAGGGTTTGCTGGATTCATTTTTATAGCTGAAACTGTAAATGAATTCTGGCATCCAGTCTAGCTCTGTGGATGTGCAGGGAGTAAAGGCATTTAGAGTACGAAACCTCGTGCAGAGCATTACCATTGAATACGCACGTATTATTCGCATGAGGATTGCCTGCTGTATGCAAAGAGAGCCAAGCACTGAGTCCAGCCTAGGCAAGAGACTCAAGTGAATTTTTCAGTTAACTGCTCTTGATGGTCTCTGCTAGTCAAAAAAAAAAAAAAAAAAAAAAAAAAAAAAAAAAAAAAAAAAAAGTACCAGAGCAGCCCTTGGATCTTACGGTTTGTCTTGTCTGTCCTGCTGGAATTGAGAAGCTGTTTCCAATAAGGCAGCGTGAAATAACAGGCATGTGGGGATGGAAGGTCGCTTTACCCTTCTGCACTGATTGTGGGTGGCCATCCTAAGGGGCCTGGGAATTGTTTCATGCAAGACAGAATGCTGTCTGGGGGAGACCATGTGGTTATATAGAAGAGAAGATTAAAAAAAAGAGGGGAGGGGGTCCTTTGGCTGCCGATCTGCCACCTTGCAGAAAGAAAGGCTCGCCCTGTTTCTCATCCACAACATGAGCATTAAGCTCCACGCCTGACCTCACAGAAGGTGGGAGAGTTGGACCTACATGCAAGATCAAAGGTGCAATTAATCTCTTGCACTCTTCCACTTGTAGAGCGCTGCTGCACCCAGAGCTGCTACCGACCGATCACTTTATAGGATCACCTAAGCTCCAGCTGTACTTGGCACTCTCTAATTGCCCTCTGGGAATTACTTATACACCTGAAAAATGGACTTCTAAACCAGATAAGTCACATCTCTGCTGTAATGCTTTTGTGCAGGAGGAGACAGGGCTTGTTTTCCTCTTCATATTTGCATTTAGTTGCCAAGGTTGTTTCTCTGGTGGCCAAATTCAAAGCTGTTTGGGGCAGCCCAGTAGCTGGTTCTCACTAGTAGTTTGAAATTGTTCTCCTTGACGCCTCTCCAGGAAAAGATGATTCACTGAGAAAGGTCATGGCTGTGTCTGAGGGAAGGGGAAAGGAAGGAGCCTTCGCTTGGAAGGACTCTTTCCTTCAACCATTTCTTTCAATTTGCTCAGCAGCTTGGCATGCTCTGTGCCTGAGTTACGCTTTTGTCATTCTTCCATGAGAAAGGGCAAAAAATAAATGTCCTGGCTTGGAAAACAGGTGGCAGGACAAACAAGATGCTGTCCATGCTCTTTGCTTCGTGGGAAGGAAAGAAATAGCTTGACAGATGCAAGGGGGAAACCACACTGAATTTAGATCATCAGCGTAAACAGCACCTCATTCAAAAGGACAGAAAACAGACCGACTTATATGAACTTAGGACAGAACCATGAAAATCTTAGACCTGCCACCAGGTCGTGGAGAAGGTCCCGGAAACATGAGCCTTGTAGGCATTCAGCCAAAGAAGGCCACGTGAAAGAAGCAGAGTACATTAAAATACCAGGCAGCAAAAGGAAGACAGGAGTATGGGTGGTGAGGTCCTGACAGATGGAGTTTGTGTTGCTCACACTGGCCGCTCTCCTCGCGTTTGGTTCCTGAGTTTTCCTGGTGCTGTGTGTTGGTAGAGTAGGTGGGGCAGGAGCTTGGCTTGCAGGTGCTCAGCCTGTGCTTCTGCAGGAAGGGAGCATCTGCTGCTCCACCGAAGAATGAAACTACCACAATCCCTCAAGTCAAGAAGCAAAAAGACCAAAGCTGACCCTCTGGAGTACATTGTCCAAGGTGACAAATATTGGGCTTCCATCTTTGCCAGATTCTCCCTGGTTGAGTGGACATAACTTAGTCACTTTTCTGAGCCTGAATTCCACGTTACTAAGATAGGGTAATGGTGTTCTCCTTTTCACAAAACTTTTTCTTGTCTTTGATTGTGTTGGCCAGAAGCTTTCTGGAAGAGTGCCTTTCTGTGTGAATGTCCAGGGCCCAGCAGACCTCCAGCCTTGGCTGGACCTCAAGTTCGGTGTGTAATATGCATGTTACAGAATTACTAGTATGCAGTAAAATGTAGATTCTGGATACAGTCAAGATACTTCCAGTCCATGAATACTATACTAATCCTGGCGTGTGGCTGGTTTTATTAGGTACAACAGCTTGTTTGCTTGTTCTTGACCTTGTACTGTAATACTTCATATATAGTTTATAGCAGTTTATTTACATGGAGTATGTGTGCAACTTCTCAATTAACTTAGAGATCAGCGTGGATTGAAGCAAAAGAATTGTACCCAGTGTTGGTTTGTTTGTTGTTTAGTGGACTTGATGTGGCTGGAGTCAGCTTGAGAACCAGACACTTACAGTGTCTTTTTGGAAAGCCATCCTGGTTTGGTTTTGCATGCTTTGTTACCACAGAAGACTCCAAATACTGACATACGTGTCATTTTCTGTCTCTTCTCTGCAGCTCCTTCATTCCCAAGTTCATTAACCATCTCTTCAAGTGCAAACCTATTAGCATGGTGGGCGCAGAACAGGTAAGAAAAAGTAGTTGCATTGGCTGTAATATTTATCACATATGTGTTCCAAGAAGTTGAGGCAGTTTTTGTTAAAAGGGAACAGAGAGCTGAGTTGTGTGTCCTAAATTCTGGTACAGCTGAGGCAGCAGGGATACACTCTGGTACAGGGCAGAGTGGAAGCAGGTTTACAGTGATCCTGTCACAATTAAACTTGTCCTGGGAGAGGGGTCCTGGGCACCTTCCCAAGAGCGTGAGCTCTTTGTCAGTCAAATTAACAGTAGCACAGGAACAACAAACCTCTTAAGGTGTCACAATGAGATTCAGTCTTCAGTGTGCTTGCACAAAGGGAAAGTAAGTTGCTCGTGGTAGAAACTCTTGCAAGAAGCTCCTGTGTCCTTCTCAGAAGACTGTTGTTTTTCTGTCCCGTCTTTCCCAAATCTCCCTCTGCTGCTACTGTGCCTTCTCCCAGGGTTAAACTCAAGCTGTTGCTTCTCTGCTCAGAAGAGCTGGGGTATGGTCAACCTGTAGTTGCTGGATGAGATGTACTTACACTTTTCTCCCCTTCAAGAGGTGCCAGGATGGAGGGTGGACCATGAAGAGGGCCTGTGCAGTAATAGCTTTAATCCTTTATTCTTACATATGTCTGCTCATTAAAAGGAATTGATGTAGGGAGCATTATTTGGAGGGGAAGTGAGACCACAGGAAAACTTTACAAAAAAAACCCCAACAAAAAACCAAAACCCCGTGACCCAAAACACCAGGTATCCAGGCAGTTTCTCAGTTCATGTAGTTTAAACAACCAAGGCGCTTTTTTTTTTTTTTTTTTTTTTTTTTTAAGTGTTAAATATGTAACACCCAGAGTGTTTGGTTTCCCATGACAGCGTGTATGCTGAGCGCAGGTTGGGTTCCTCCACGTGCCTGTGATGGTGGCGTGAGGCATGCGGGAAGGATGGGGTTGTGGAGGTGTAGGGCAGTGTTTTCTCTATTCTGTCCCCCAAAATTGCTGTCTCCAAGTTGCCCATGGGTGGGTATTTATTGCCCGTGGGCAGCTCAGGGTATTTATTGCCTTGAGACCATGGGTGCAGCTGCAGGGCTGTGATCCTCCATGTCCCACCCCTGCCTGGGGCTGGGACCCCACTGCTCTGCGAGGACAAGGTTTGGATGAAGCAGGCTTTCAGCTGTCCCCTGAACGTACAGCTGCTCCCCTGTGGGCTAATTAAAAATTTAAAAAAAAAATCAGAATCATCCCTAATGGGACTACTGTGAGCTTCAAATTGGTCCCTTGAAAGCTGATTGGGTTTTAAGCATCAAAGATGGGTTCTGAGCAGTGTGTGTCTGCAAAATGAAACAGGAGCTTTACATCAAAACCTTCCTCTTTCTTAATGAAAAGCAAATGAGTGAAACGTGGGTCCTGCTCGTCTTGTGTGGTGAGCAATAACCTGAGAGTGATTAAATGAAGTCTTCTTTTAAAAAAGCATCTAAAGTGATCAGCCCGTTGCCAGCAGTGGGCTTGTCTCTAATGTTAAAAGGTTTTAATATTACTGTATTGGAATAACAGGCCCAATTTGCTTCTTTAAAGCAGACTGGGATGGTTTTTGTTAGCCTGATTCACAGTGAATATATCTCATTATAAGTGGGACATACCTTCCTGGGGTTAGATGTACAGAGGCCTTCAGAAGCTGATCTCTCTCTGCAGCATGTAGGTCCTCGGTTGCCTTAGCATCTTTTGAACACCTCTCTGGTCACCCACCAGCATCTTTCCATACCAGTTTTTCTCCCCTGGTGCAAATGTTGCTGTGGAATATGCTTTCCCGGCCCAAAACACAGCTTTTCCTGCTGTTTGCTAATAATCATGTTTGAAATCTGGACACTAGGGTGGCATTTACCAAGGTGTTCAGTGGAGTTTCACTTTCTGTGTTTGTGTCTCTGACTTAACAATTTTCCATCTTGGCAAGCTTTGGCAGTGAGTTAGCAACGCCAGGGACCTCGAATGGGTAACAGGGGGAAATAGGGTGAGGGGATAGAGCCTGCGAGTGCTGCATCTGTGGGAAAGGCTGCAGAGCGCACAAAACATGAGTGAATTTACCTGGGAACTATGGAAAAATCATCCCATCTATGGGATCCAGCAGGAATCCAGCTATGACAGCCTGAGCTGACACCAGGCTCCGGGGTGCACAGAGCTGCCCGTTTGTGCTGTGGTTTCCTGGCTTCCCAGGAGGAGATTGATGGCATCAGTTCATCTCATGCAAACCCTGAAACCGGCAGCACACAGCACCGATACGCTGCCGCAGATAACAGGGTCCAGATTTGAGCTGGTGTGACCCAGGCCTCCTCCTCAGCTCAGTCCTTTGTATCTGAAGTGAATTCCCACGTGTGCTGGAAGCCGTACCATAAATGTTCATTTGGTCACGGTGACTGGGAGGGTTCTGTAACGTGTGTCACTCCAGAACAGGCTTCCACCTGCTCCTGAAAGCCCTTCAGCAGGAAATACTGGTGTGCCGACAGTCCGGCGGGCTTTCACACTCGCTGCTGTGGAAATAAATTGTGCTCTTCTTCACCTAGCTTGATTTCAGATTTCTGTCCTTCACCAGTCTTGCCTCACCTCTTTAAATATACCTTGTGCAATCAGAAGAGTGCAGTATTTGGGGCGATTTTGCTCCAAGAAACTCTAACCCCCACAGCATTTTGTCATCAGACAGTGCTTGTCTGATGGGCTGAATTTCGTGGCTGCTGCTTATTTAGTCGCTGCTCTAGTAAAAACCAACACACAGGCTCTGAGTTTCAATGTACCAGTGAGCGCAGGATATTGAGCAGTTCGCACTGTAGCTGTATTGCCTTGTGGTTTTCTTTTTAAAGATAAAAAAAGAATCAAGTGGTTGAGTAAATGCAGAAAACCTGATGTAATGGGTGGTTGGGTGCAGGAGGAAGCATGGTGTTAATTCATTTGACCTCAGTATCCAAATAACAATACAGCTCCAGGTAATCGAGATTGTTTCACTGTATCCTGTCAAGGGGAAGAGGACTGGAAAAGCAAATCCATGCCTTATGTGCCAGATGTTGAGCTGCTATAAGTCATTTCAAGTCAGCAGAACAGTGCTCTGTTACAGTTAACCAATGGTGTTGATACGTAGCCACGAGTGATTGTGTCTCTTTGAAGTGTCGTTACCTTGGTCAGTCCCTCCTGTTCCCACAGTCCAATTCCCAGGGCTTTTTCCAGTGTGGGAAGTGTTAAACTTTTAGGGATGTTGGATTATAGGAGCTAATGGAGCTTGGTAAAAGGGACCTGAATAACAGGGTTGATTCATTATTGCAGCTGCTGCTGGACACTCACTCTCTGAAGATGGTTCTCCTGGATCTGCCCTCCATTGGGTCCCAGGTGGTGAGGAAGGCTCCTGCCAGCTACACAAAGATAGTGGTGAAAGGCATGACTCGGGCTGAAATGATCCTGAAGGTAACTCAAGACTTTTGATAACCTGCCAGCCAGACTGCTGGACTGGGAATCAGAGCGAGCAAATTCCAGGGGGCCCTTCCTTTGAACACAGCAATCTGCTATTGCACATGAACGTATGCGAGCCTCTCCGGGTGTGCTGCCAGCTGTTCTACAGAACTGGCTTACTCGCCTTGGTTTTGCCCCCACTCTCTTTTAACATTGCATTTGAGTTTTCATCCTCATTTTTCAAGGTAACCAAGGGCTCAAGTTCTGCTTACTAGGAGAGCTGGGGCACCGGATTCCCTCAGGAGCTTGTGAAAATCAGAGCTAGCATCCGTAAGTGTCTGGTGCAGGGCAAACCCTCCAGTTCAGGTTACTCCAGGCCTTTGTGCAGACTCCATCGTGCCGGGGAGCCAAGCTGTGCTTGAGTCACCTGTTTACTGTCTAGTGTAACAGCCAGTGCAAACATGTCTGGGTTACTGTATTCACCAGAGTCCTTTTTCATTTTCCAGACCCAGTGCCTGGAAAATGACCCAAAAGCAGTGTGTTGTCTTCATAAAAAGTAACAAGCAAAGCCATCTCCCCTTCCCCTCTGTTGCTGGAGTAAGAAGTTAAGTTTGATCCCTGGAGAAGCCATGGGAGCTGTGCAGTTGTACCCTCCTGGGTGATGGGATTGTCCCCTGCTCACCAACAATGCTGTGAGGATGTTCCTGTGAGTGAATTAGTGGGACCTGGGGTCAGGCAGGCCAGGCAGAGCTTCCTGTGAACCACGGCCAAGGCAGGGAGGGGGTGCAGAGCCCGGGCTCTCCGTGCTTGCCTGCTGCTCAGTGTGGCTTTGCTCCCATGCCCAAGGTAATGACACGGCTGAGTTTGCATTCTGAATTCAGAATTAGTTCTGCAAGTCCATGCTTTTGGAGTAAGGTGACTGAGATGTTAGTAGATACATTAAAGCAAGTCTAAATTTTCTTAGAAATGTCATGAAGAAAAAGATCCTGGTACTGCTCACAGAGGAGCAGGGAAGATTGGTGCCTGTTGCATACAGAAAGAGCATATATGTGAATCGGAAAAGTAATGGAGTTAATTTGCCACAGTGGCTTCATGGGGATTGAGATGAAAGCAGAATGGGAGAAGGATGGGTTTTGAGCCCTGTGCCCCGGGCGGGGAGCTCTGCAGGCTGTGCAGCAGCAGCACAACTGCTTTTTCAGGCATCCCGTGCTGCTGTGCTGCTGCATAAAGTCCTTCTGCTGGCCTCAGTCGAGGGCTCCGTGTCACTGTAACTAGGAATTAAACAGCGAGGCGCTTATGGCACGCAGCGCTCCGCAGAGCTGTTTGACAGAATAGTGCCCCGTGTAATCAGCGGGTGATGGGGCTGAGTGGTTGGCTGGGGCAGGTTGGATAATCGTGGTGCCTGAATAGATCACCCTGAGTCTAAGTAACCCACACAGCATTTGGGGCTGGTGTCAGTACCCATCTCTTGGGTCTGGGAGAGAAAAAAAGGCTCTCGGAAGTGCCTGGTACCAGTATTTCTGTAGGAAGGTTTCCTTGCAGGAGCCCAGATCTGGTTGGTCACCTCCAACCATTCTGTTTGCCTTGTGGATTGTCTCTTTTTATCAGTGCTCAGACTCTCTCTGCTGTTTCCGAGTTGTACATTAAAGAGTCCTTTCCCTAAGAGCTATTTCACCCCATCAGAAGTACAGGCTAATACAGTCCTCGGTGTTTTCAGGGCTCTCCTGCCTCATACTGAGATGGTTCAGAAGTGGTGCCTCTGCTGCCTACAACCATCCCACCACACAGTAAGTAGCGTGCCTGGGCTTATACCAGTGCAGCTACTCCAGTAGGAATATCATTGTGCCTGTAGATGGCACGAACAAATTAATTCAGCTAAGCCCTACAAAAGTGCAGGTGTAAGCAGGGAGGAGGGTGTCAGGGCACGCACGTCCTGCAGAGCTGTTTCCTTTCTCCTCTGGCTTCACTGTCTGAAGTTCCAGCTTTTCATCTTGGCAGAAGATTTTTACAAGGGCTGTAAATTAAGGATTTATAAGTGTATACATGGCTATGATGTTTCATTGGTCTGAAATGCAGGGAAAGAAAGAAATGTCTCAGTGACAGACTACAGTGTGGGGTGAGCTGGGTCGATGGAAACATATGGAAATGTTTTCAAAGACAGGGAAGAGTCTGGTCCTGTGCTGCTTCTGCCCTGTGTGCAGGCACACGTTCACACACATACACACACTTCCCCAGAAAGATGGGTTCACTGCCCAGCATTATCAAAAATGTGTTCTCTGTGGAGCACTCTGCTTCTCTAAGGAAAATATAACAATGAATAATCATCTTTCCAGCTTCAAGGCTATTTTAATTTTTTTTCCTGACCTGACCATTGCTGGGACTAAGAGGGTGTGAGTTCCGGGGCAGAAGTCAGCGGGGTTCACCCGCTGCATCCCGCTCTCCCCAGAGGAGGGTACAAGAGGAGCTGCCCCCAAAGGACAGAGCAGCTTCCTGTGGCACCACTCACCCATCAGGTTCCGCGTCTGAAGCCGGAGGACTGCTCAGCAGATTGCTCTGAGCCACGCTGTCCCTAGGACGGAGGGAGCCACTGCAGAGTGTGGTCAGATTCCCCTGCGACGCGCTGCCTCCGCCCTGCCTGCGGGCAGCAGGAGCCAGAGGGATGCACAAGTCAAGTGAGGGTCTGGACTGTGTCCAGGCTGCCTGATCTGATCCACTGGAGACTTTCTAAGTGTCCCCACCACCACCAGCACTGCCTTTGTCCCTGAAGCGACTCCTCAGCTACTCTCCACACAAGATAAAATCTTGAGCTTTGACAATGTGCAGGTGCCTGCCAGCCCACGGGTGCACAAAGTCCTGTGCTCTTTGAAACATGACACGCAGCCCCTTGGGTCCGAGCACCACTGCTGTGTGGAGAGACCTCGTCCTCCTCCTGCTCCTTATTTTACTTCAGTCACCTCTGCCTCTCGGTTACTAGCAGCTCGTACAGCCTCCTCGTTCCTTAAGCATTTTATTTTAGAAGCCAGTCCTGCTGTCACATGTGTGCCTGAGTTGACTGAGCACTGGCTTTGACTCATAGAATTTGATCTTTTTTTTTCTTTTCTTGGCAGGTGGTTATGGCTCCACATGAGCCCCCAGTTGTGTTTGTCGACAATTACATCAAGCTCCTTGCTGACTGCAGCACTGACACTTTCCAGAAGATACTAGACATGAAGGTTAGAACCTGTCCCACAGAGTTTCTGCTCGTCCACTAGCACTGCATTGAGATTATTGGTGACTTTTTTTCAGTAGAAATATAGAAGAGGGGTTTGAGAGTGGGAAGAGCACCCTAAAGCAAGTGTATCCTCTCTACTCTGTAGAGTTGCTACTGAAGAATAGCTTTTTGGTTCACTTCACATGCTCAGAGCTGCTCTGGCTCCTGGGGCTGAGCTCGGTTGTCTCGGGATCATCCAGAGGGTTACGTACAGGTCTTGGTGGGTGAACAAAAGGTTGAGGTTTGAAACAGGTGGTCTCATGCACACCCACTCCCAGATCAGTGAAGTTTAACTGTCTTGCTTTGCTTGTGTGCTCCCACAGGGCCTGAAGAGGAGCGAGCAGAGCAGCATGTTGGACCTCTTCCGCCAGCGCCTCCCGGCCCCCCCCTCCGGAGCGGAGAACGCCGGCTCTCTCTCGCTGAGCGCTCCTACGCCTGAGCAGGAGTCCTCTCGCATACGGAAACTGGAGAAACTCATAAAAAAAAGGCTCTAAGTGAGCAGAAGGAAATTCTGTTGCTCAGGACTGCTGCAGTGACTGGGATCAAAGCTCGTCAGACAACGATTTACAGTGCGCTGCTGAAAAATCCCTGTCCCGTCAGTCCCCTGCCCTGTGATCTCCTGGCCATCGTACACCGTGGTGCTGCGTTGTCGTTCAGGCCGAGGGACAATCTGACCAAGGTGTTTGCCCTTGGGCAGCTTGGCAGGAGTGAAACCCAGGACATTTTTGGGTCCAGGTGGTGGAGAAAATAGAGGTGCTTGGAAGTCAGCAGCTACAAAAACAGTTGAGGTGGATTCAGAGAATATCTGGCTGTGATATCCAGCCTGGCTGAGCTCCTGCTGCAGCACTGAGGATTTTGCCTGAGAGTTCGGTGTTACTGCTCACTCCCTGTTGCAGAGCTGTTCCTCTTTTTCATTATATATTGGAGTGGGGGGGTGGGGGTGGGGTAGGG